TAGTGGACTCATCTAGCTGAAGGCGCTCGGTCATGCATCCGCACCAGATCACGTGTGGTAACGCCGTGCCCAACATCTACCGCACTTGCTAGCCAGATTAGATAAGAGAATTCCGATATATTGGTAATCGCCAAATACACTCTTCCGATCTCCTCGACTCTGTATTTTGATTTCTCTGGGTGGTAACGAATTATATTAGAAGGTGTTACTGGTAAAAGCGTTGTCAAACACTGAATACCTGTGACATCATTATATCACTTGTACTTCAGTAAAATTAAGATCTGGTTCTCTCTGGTTTTATTCTAAGGCTTTGAATACAATAAAAAACATTTCAACATTATAAATGTCACTTTAAATAGCATCATTTTATAACTTCTTATGGTGGCATGGAAACAAACCAATCACTAATCAGATTATTCTTATACATTTTAATGATCGATTGATTTCCTTATAGGACGATAACTGTAATATAATCTATATCCAATTAGTAGATGAGTCTTACGGTTTAAGTACTCAAACGTGGCTTATTCAGTCAAGATAGAACAAACTTTTGACCACATTCAAATAAACCACTAAGTTAGACTTCTGCAAAATGCTTATTATCAGAAAGGTGTTTTTGTGGAGATATTACTTTTGTTGTATTTGAATTCATGAGTCAATTTTACCTAGGCCACCATATAGCGACTCACGTGCAAATGAGTTTAGTCTCATCTAACGCAGTTAAGCCCTTTTGCTAACTCATTTAGCGGACAAATTCATCCGCACTGTAACAACTTGTTGTACCCTTTTTATTTTGTGCTTGTATGAAATACGTATGCTTGAATATTGCTTACGGCCTACGCATTTATTCACTCTGCTAGTCTTACTACTGACTGATTATTTGATTCGATTACTCATTCATTTCACATGGTATATATATGTCCATGTTATTCATATTCAACGCACTCACTCTCACACACTCTCGTCTCGCTCTTGTTATGGCTGTCGCTCGCTTGCTTGCCTTTCGGCACAACTCTTCTATGCTTGTTTAACGCATCTGTACATTTGGATATATGTGTGTGGTCTCGTAATAAACGTAATCAACACTTCGTATTTGCCTTCTGATTAATAAACCGTTGGGACGTTATATAGAACGGTTATCAAGACGAGCTGTATACGAAGTTTAAGGATTATATCGAATGCCGACCACCATAACTATGAAAATCCTAGAAGCATTGGATGGCCGTTTCGCCTTATTGTGAGACTCTCCAGTAGTGTGCATCCGGATTCGAACCCGAGACCTACCAGTCTCGCTTGGAACGTGCAAACTCTAAACAAACATCCAGTGGTTCTAGGTTTCCACGGAGATCTAGCTTCAAATGACTCATGAATTTAACTACAAAATGCTCATTTGTGATGAGTTTCAACAATATAGTAAATGCAAACACTTCACTACTAGATATTTATCCACTAGACACCCTTGGAAGATAGGACAGTAGATTATCGATTTCCGAATGAATAGTACCGTAATACAATTGGATTGCAACTAATATATGTAAAATGATTATTCTCAGATCATTTCTTTACTTGGGTCATTATATATATAATTGTTATGTACTAAAGCTCAGTTTCATAACTTAAATTACACACCGATCTTGATCAAATGACCATTGAAAACTAGTCATGTCTGCTCAGCTGTTTCTTCTTAGTAAAGGACTCTTCGGCACACACAACTCCACTAAAGAGGATTTGATTCAGTGACTTCGGCCACAAGCGTCAACGCCTAACCTCCAGACCATTGATCCGGTATCCACCGGTGTATATTTTGAAATTCGGCCAACTTAAATTTTGGGTTCCTGAGTCACTAGTCAATACCTCTGTTCTGTAAGATTATTAAAGGTAAACACTTCATGGAGGGAGTATAAACACACTCATTCTGGAGTTTCACTCATGTATGCTTGCATCAAAGCGATACAAAATCCATGGTGATCACCAAGTTCTTTCGATAGTAATAGATAACTTTATCGTATTTTGAAATAAGACAGTGATAGCTGAAAATATATCCTGATTTTCTAATCAGTACTCGAGTTAATGATGTGATGGTAGACCCCGAACATTTTCATAGTAAAGTGCATACTAAATTATTATCTAATAGTTGAATTCATGAGTCGATTAAACCTAGATAACCATGGAGAACCCTTAAGTATTGGGCAACTGTCTCGTCCTAGCATTGGCCTCCTCAGCAGTGCGAATCCACGATCCCGCCTTGCAAGATTTAAACTCACGACGTTCGGTGTGGCGTGCGAGCGCTTAACCTACAAACCACTGAGCTGGCATACAACGGTGTTAATGTCTAACGTTGGTCAATTCACGAAATTGCGCCACCGTTCATCGTTGTCTTCAGTGAGTTCCCATCTCAAAACAGATCCGGCTCAATTAATTGTTTTGTTCGAAAATTTATTATCATTAGAAAGTAATTTATTGATTATCGCCTTACACAACACAATTATAAGCGTTTGTATAACTTCAGAATAAAACTGATGAATAGAAATCTATTGCACAAAGAAGTAGCTGTCAGGACTCAGCAGCTTAGTGGATAACGCGATGACGATTAGAGCGAACGATACTGGGATCGAATCTCAGGGTGAAAACCAATCCTGAGATGCAGGTACATCAAGCTGATATGTCCCAATTAGTAACAAACGCGCTTTAAACAGGATTTCACAGCTAGCCATTGTCCATCTTTGCTAATAATTTGAACTGTCGCAAAATCTGTCAATACAATGCACAGCGTTATTTTAACGAAAAGACACTGGATTAAAATGAACATTGATACTGTTTTTCAGTTTTTAAATGAATGAAAAAGTTAACAGAATTTTTATTAAAACAGTTTGAGAACAATATTTTGTTTGGTTGAAGTTTCGTTCATTCTTCTGGCTTTCTATAAATAAAAAAACAACAAACATATCGACAATGCATATTACACTTGAATTCATGTGTAAACACGTAACCTCTTATGTTATTCAGAACCATATTAAACAAATAAATTCAAACAACACAATCAACAATTATTTGTCTACAACAACGAATAATTTAGGCAAAGTAATTTAATAGTTCATTCAAGGGAGAACTATTTGAGCTTCATTGGGAAGCAGCTAATGATATAGATGTTTGTAAACACCTCTAAACAACTATAAATATATCAGGGACACCTACAATGAAAGTTAATCAGAAATTCAGTTTAGATCAGATGATTTTTGTGGGATCTACTGAGTTGATAGATACCAGAAACCTTATCCTGAGAGGTCCAGAGAGCGATAAGAAATGATAGAGACACCGTATGATGACAAAATTTTGATCTTGATGGGGAAGACTTGAGAGGTTGGACTGGTTTTAGACTTCAATGTGAATTTACTAACTGAATGCACACTCTTCAGGTTTTTAAATATAAGCAAACTTAATGGCATACAACAAGAGTCCTATTTCTTGACTCCGAGAAATCATTCGTTGTGAAAATGCTGACCATAGCAGCAAACAAATCTTGCGAATAATCTTTTTTATAGTGAATGTTTGCTTGGGTCGGAGATTGTAGTCAGGTGTAACCAGAATTGTCATGTGATGTTCATTAGAGATGGACACCAATCAACGTTCTTAATTAATTTATCTATAAATATTCCCTTATGAGTGACGATTTCATCACCTCACTTATCATGAGTGGATATTCGCACAAGTGACGCACTAGTTGACCTACTAAATGTTGACAAAGCCGAGTGAAGAAGCTGCACAGGAGACTGGGTAACGGAAACTATAAGTTGTGATTGATTAGGTTGTTTGGAACATGTACTACCTGTGCCGATTCACCACTTGCTTCGATTGGCTGCTCCTAGTCCAACAGACAGCTTAATCGGATGTTAGCGTTAGTCCATGAAGTCATAGACTGTTGTTCCGATCTCATCAGTAGGTGCAGAACATATGATTTGAACCAATGCGTTAATAACAATCACTATTTGGAGTTGTCATGGAGTTGACACGGCCCAGAATCTTCCACTCTTTATCTTCCTCTAGATATTGAACTTCAGTAATCCTCCATGCAAACGCTTTTACTCTACCATTTCAAACCATATCAACAACGTGTAATTTTCATGACTATCATCGCTAATATACTATTTCAATGTACCTTGTTACTTTCATCTCTATATGCTAATATGGTTTGACGATTTGCACCAATACATACCGACACCAGGGTCTAAGCTAGTGATAGTTGAATGATTGACGATTGCAACAGAACATTCATTGTCGTACATTTTCAGGAAGAATTGTCAAGGAGTCTTGACATTTTCGCTCTACAAACATTTGTAATTGTAAGATATGATTTGATAGTTTATTAAGTGAAATGTTGTCATCTGATTTAAGTTGGTGCATTCCCTAATATATTTATTCAATCAATCAAGTAATTTAATGCATTTTTTTATCAATCCATTTGCTACCTTGAGTAGTTTATATGCATGATAAATACTAATAGGTAATATTGCATACTATAACAAAGCCGATACAGCATCCAATAATATATGTGAAGTTGAATAATGGCTAGCAGTGGAATCCAGTTTGACGCATGTTTCGTCCTATTTGGCAAATGCCGGCCGGATGTACCTGTATCTCAGAGTTGATGTTCACTCTGGGACTCGAATACAGTACCATACTATGAGATCCAAATACATCCCACTGATGAGTCCTAAATAGGATGAAACGCGCGAGTGAAAATCGGAAAACATTTTCTAAGGTAATCACTCACATTTTTAGGTCTTTAAACTGAGTTTACTGAAGAAAAAAATCAGAATTATTCAAATGGTTTGTAAATAGGACAATATTGTCATACAATTACAAGTTAATTTCTACATTACGTACCAAAACCCCTAGAGAGAGAACTTACTTTCTTCCTGCATTATACTTTCGTAGATTTGTATTCTTTCTTCTAATGAAAGTACTTATTAAGTTAGTCGGTTATTATCAAACAATAAAAGTCACTTACATTCAAGGACATCTATTCTTTGAACTTCCATATTTGTTAATGTTTTAAGGTGATTATCTGTAAATCAAGATAAAAATGAACTAAATTTTCTCGAAATGAACAGTGTACACTATTTGTTGAAGAGATCCAGGAGAAAGCAAAAAACTACTCTGAAAACAGAGAGAAGCATCTTATCCAATCAGCATTCTACTGAAGTTTTGCCAGAAACATATGGAATGTGGAAATTCACACGCCGAGTTTTTGATAGGATGAATACATACACAGCTACTATGTTTAAGCAATCTTTTAGAATTTTTTGGAAAATCAAGGCCATCTGAAATATTATAAAAGATCTAGATTTTCTGTACATAAACTGGCCTATGAAGTAAAGCGTTTTCTTCCATATTTCGCTCCTGTCCTCACTTGTTTAATTTGCTGTGTAGATCTAGCCTTGAGATTACTAGATGAACGTATGATTCGAATCTATCTTACAATTGAAAGACATATTACTATTAAACAGATCGCAACTAAAAGTTAAATAACCCATAAGACAAAATGAAAAAAACTTCGTGATCTGATGTTCCAAGGGATGTTCTTGTGTAAAAATTTCACATTGCTTTCAGGAACAAATAGAATAGAGATGCATATAATAATTTTCTATGTTACTATGAGTATGAGTTTTTGATGGAGAATTTGAAAACGCTATTTTGGATACCGGATAGGATGAAACGCGCGTCAAACTGGATTCCACTGCTAGCCAATATCCATCTTTGCTTATAATCTGATAAAACTATTTTACTCAAACATCTTAGAATCACATACTGATTTCATTATCTCGTCGAACATTAAACTGCTACGTACAGAAAACTAGGCCAAAGAAGGAGGGGAAGACCAAAGAAAATATTACGTTGATAAACCACGACAGACATGAGAAGAATGAACAACAATTCAATAGAACCATAAGGGAAGGCCTGGGACAGAGTGTGTTTGAGCGTATTGGTCGGCGGCCTATTCTCTAATGTGAGCAACAGAAGTATGTTAGTAAGTAAGTAACATCCAGATAATTGACCACTATATAAACTGTCGACTTCAAATGATAAATACATTTCGTTGGTATTATTTGCACAAAAAATTACCTAAAGCATTGAAGTATTTCATGGCGGCATGCTGGTTATCGTCTTTTACAGCTATAACTTCCGGATTTGCTATAAAATATAATCACAGTAAAACATAGCTAATTAAGGTGCTAGTTATAATACTCAGTGAAACTATGATTTTTAGACAACTGTTTCAGAGTGTTCATCTATCTACTAGGGCCAAATGAGAGTTATAAAGCAGTTTGAACTATAGGAATTATGATTCACAGTTTACAATTATGGCTAGGAATTAGATTTTGTGTTTTCATTAGGAACCGTCATCAGTTATAGTGAGATGATGATTTGTAGCTTAGGTGGATGGTTATGATGGAGTTTTGTTCTATGAGCTGAATGGAATGGTTGTAGAGCATTCATCATTCCACTGAACGACATCATCAGCACAAACTTTAGGTAGATTTCTATAATCGAAATCAGCTTTAATGCCAAAACTTTGCGCTGAAATCCGACACCTGTTATGTTATACGTGATTGGTTCGTCCATAAGTTCTAGTCTCGCTAATTATAATATTATTTGCTTCACAATTCAGTAAATAATACTTACCAAAAATTAGGTTATTAGATGCTCGAAACAGTTTCTTCTTAGACTCATTTATTTGCTCTAATGAGATATTTTCAGAAGTGCAAAAAGTGTACAAAAATGAATTTGTTAGGGTTATAGAGATTGTAGAATTTCGATTGATACCATTAAATGGATTAATGTTAGACTATCGTCTTAAACCTGAAAACACTAAACGGTCGTTTCATTCTAGTATGGATCTCGTCAGTTGTGCGGATCCATAATCCCATACGTGGGATTCTAATACTAATTCAAAATGGCTGTTCAATGCTTCCAGAAATACACTGGTGGATCATCTAGTAAAATTACTATTCACCTTTATAGTCATTGATTTTCTGTTTAAGATCTTCTGCAAACTGTTCCAAATAAGATCGGTCATTTGGATCTAATAAACAAAGAAAAACTGGTAACACTATGTATGATAAATTCGACATTATTATTCAAACACAAAATAGTTCATTTAACGTATGTAATTGTATGAAGTTTTTTAGCTTATTTATCAACGTACCTAATGTGTTTTTGGCTTCAGCTTCAGTTGCCTTTAAATCCCCTAAAATGATGATAATAGAAGATGGGTACTAATTATACTCGTATGTAATATGATGAATAGTTATCGTCAATTCAGATTAAACTAATCTTACTACATATATAAACGATTAGATCAATCCAACATATATTGGAAACCCACACGATATGTATCAATACCAAGGTGAGACTTGATAGTTTACTATTACATTATATGTGTTATTTACTTCTTCCATATACTAGATAATTATTTTAAGTAATATTTTGTGGGTTCTAACCTCGCGAGGCGAGATCGTGGATATGCACTGCTGAGGAGTCTCGTACTAAGACGAAACAGCCTTCGAGTGCTTTCAGGTTTTCCATGGTGGTCTAGCTTCAATCCACTCATGAATTCAATTATCACACTACTGTATTATTATTTAAAAGTGAATACATACGATGAAATAATAACTTACAGGTGTAGCGTTCGAGGTGTTCTGTCATTTCATCAATGTTTTTCTGCATTTCATTAACTGAAATAAAGTTAATGAAAGATTGTTATTTCACATTGGTGATTCAATGAATGAAGAGAAAAACGTGACTATGAGATGGTGGAGAAGATTTGTAGCTCAGGTAGATGATTTTGATGGATTCTTGTTCTCTGAGCTGGACGGTTTGTTCATGGAATTTCATCGTTCTACTGAACGAGATCATCAGTACAAACTTCAGGTGGAGGACAGCTTCACAACCAAACCACCCAGCTCAGAGCACGAAACTCCATCAAAAAAGTGACTATGCACAGATTGTGTGTTATACGTTGACAATAAACATTATATTGCGATCAGAGTTTACTTAAGTGCAAAACAAATCTTACTAAAACGCCGGATTTCATGTGTCTAGATAGATTATTTGCTTTAGTCCAAATACTCATATCTGGAATAAATTAAGAAGAAGCGCTGGAAGTGGATTGAGCGTACATTGAGGAAAGAATCCAACTACGTCACAAGGTCAACCCTCACATGGAATCCTCAAGGTCAAAGGACAAGCGAAGGACCAAAGAGCACATTACATCGAGAAACCGAGACAGACATGAGAAGAATGAACAACAATTGGATAGAAGAGGAGAGGAAGTCCGAGGACAGTGTGGGTTGAAGAATGCTAGTCGACGGCCTATGCTCCATTGGGAGTAACAGGCGTAAATGAGTAAATACTCATATCTGAAAATATTACTCATTTCAAATGATGGAATTGATTTATAAAATGTAAACCTCCGCCAGTTGCTGAAATGCGACCTAACCAAACAAGATTCTAACAGACTTATCATCGAGACAGAATGAACAACACATTTAGGCTGGATATAGAACAATATATTTCATATGAATAAAATGGATAAGTTACAAAAGAATGAAAATGACTGCAAGGCTGAGCCATGCTATCCGATGAGTTAAATTTCGAATCAATGTTACTGCGTCCACCATTATTGACGTACTTTTAGTGTCACATGTTGAAAGTCTGTTTTCCCAGTTATCTCATAATCAGCTTTGAGGATTGTGGTTAGGATTCAATATCACTAAGAATACTAGCAAAGATTTCTGCACACAAATCATACAGCATATATCTTACATCATACTATAAAGTGATTTCCTATCCGGGTCGGATAGTTCAGTGGTAACATCTCTGACCGTGAAGCTGAGAGACACGGGATCGAATTCGTCAGGGAACATCAGTTCCCTCAAAAAACAGTAACTAGATTACATACCATTAAAAGAGGAGAACCAAGAAAGTGATAATTTGATTGAATGTGCAATAAAATAGGGAATTATTCAGTTATTAAATTGTGCAATACGTTCTCATGAATGAATATGTATCGAAAATCAATTAATATGACACAAAAATCTCACGTTGTGGGTTCAATTTAGATAGATCCATTTCAACCGCGTCTATTTTTATATTAAAGAAAACGACGTATTATCAGTAAATATAAATGGAAGAACGATATTGAGGTCAGTGATGCTAAATTTTTAATCGCTTATATGACGTATATTTACGAAAATTATAAGCTGTCATTAGGCGGTTAGAATGACTTAGAATTCTGGAAGGACAATTATCTACTTACTTACTTACTTACTTACTTACTTACACCTGTTACTCCTCGCGGAGGAGAGTAGGCCGCCCATCAGTATTCGCCATTCAACTCTGTCCTGGATAATCTTTTCCAGTTCCTTTCCAGTTGTTATTTATCCTTTTCACATCTGCTTCTATGTCCAAACGAAATGAGTTCTCTGACCTTCCTTTTTTCCGTTTCCTTTCAAGATTCTAATTTAGGACATGCTTTGTGATATTGATTGATGATTTTCTCAATGTATGTGTCAACCAACACCTCCATCGTATTTTCCTGTTTTTTTCTCTCTCATAGTAGGCTATTGCTGATGGTATCCGGGAAAAGAACATTCAGTATCTCACGGTGACAATTATTTACAAACACTTATACTTGTTTGATGATCGTTGTGATAGTTCTCCACGTTTCAGCTCCGTACATTAGAACTGTCTTCACGTTCGTATTGAAGATTCTCACTTTGATATTAGATCACAGTTGTTCTGAGTTCCATATGTTCTTCAACTGTGAGAATGCTATCCTTGCTTTATCAATTCTCGCCTCGCTTCATTTTGACCCATAGACTATTATGATACGATGTTTTATGGTTGAGTTATGCTCACTCTATTAATTACAATCTCCCACATTCACAACCATTTTTGATAAGATCTCGGTACAATTGTGTAGTTTCTATTTTATGACACGATATGGTTTGTTTGAATAGTATATAAACACAGTTTATTTGAATTAGAGGATTCATATTGTGGAGGTTGAGATTTGTGTTCTGGACTTAACAGGAAGGGCTGGGCAGAAAGCAGGACCGATAAAGATTCTAGACTTCTCGTACGGGTTTACGCATCATTAGTCTAGTCGATAAATCAATGTTCTCTAATTGACGGTATCGTTACATGATACATTCATAGGGCATAGTGCCATAAGATACAACAGTATTATATCATAATATATTGGATTAGTTGGATTGATCTTTGCATTTGGTTTAACTATTTGCTTGAACGATGTTAAAGTAAACGTCTTTAGTGATCAAATCACTTAGAGAAAAATATTCAAATGACGATAATGGACGGTTCGATTTTATAAAAATAGTAATCTATATTTATATTCACCGAGTTTGATGTCTTTAACTTGTTTACTGTGGTTGGCGTCTTTTTTACGAAAACTGGTTGGAAGTGGATAGAACATACATTACGGTTATCATTAAACTGCATCACAAGGCAAGCCCTAACTTGGAATCTTGATGAGAAACGCAAAAGAAGAAGGCTAAATATAACATTAGGTTGGAAAATAGAAGCATATATGAATAGGATGAATAACACATGGAAAGGATTGTCCAGGATAGAGTTGAATGGGGAGTGCTGATGTGCTGCCTAATCTCCTCCACGAGGGGTAATGGGCTTAAGACTTTGTCGTTTAAAAAGATAAACCACTGACTAGGAAATGTTTTTTCATGTTAATTCGCTACATTGTTTTAACTATAATGATAACCCATTATCTATTCACGTTTTTTATATGTGAATAGTAGTCTATAGATGAAATTTATGACACAAGGTGGGTTATGTTTGAGAGTCTTTAACTAGCCAAACCCAGATCGAAATGTCAATGTTCACATGGTTCATAATCTTATTATCCGTTCCTTTCAACATTAAATTGACTAGTCAGTGAGGTTTAAAATATACGCAAAGGGATAACACTAAACTTTACAGATATTCTTACCAGTTTAATAGCTGATTTCTTAGGAAGAACGTTATCACCCAACCCTTACCTTAACCCTAACCCCAATTTATTTAAGAAACTCAGTCTCATAGCATAATCACTGTAAAGTTAAGAATTATTGTATTCGCTGAAAGATATATGTATATACATAACTGGCTGTGAAACTCACCGTAGACTTTTCTAAAGGAATCTGCTGTCTCAATCACTTCCTCATATATGCTTTTAACACGTACTTAAGTTGGAAAAAAAAAGATCAAGATAAGACTATTATAAAGATCATCATACAGAATACTGCTTTATTTAAAGACCTTGTTTAATTTTTACCACTAGTAATACTGATATAACTGTCTCTATCGTGACATATTTCCCCCCATAAAAAATTTTTTAGTTAAAAATAGTTCTGTACTAATTGCCTAATTCTATCAAGTTTTCAATGGATTTACTTACTTCCTTACGCCTGACACTCTTCATGGAAGAGAATAGGCCGCCCACCAGTATTCGCCATTTAACTCTTTCCTGGGCAATCTTTTCCAGTTTCTTTCCAGTTGTTATTCATCTTTTTGATATCTGCTTCTTTTCCCCGACATATTGTGTTCTTTGACCTTCCTCTTTTCCGTTTCCCCTCAAGATTCCAAGTTAGGACTTGCTTTGTGATGTAGTTTTATGATTTCTGTAATGTATTTCGTATGCATTTCCATCGTCTTTTCTTAATTTCCTCAGTTAAAAGCTTGTTTGTTCTCTTCCACAGTAGGCTGTTGCTTATGGTATTCGGCCGATGGATGTTGAGTATCTTGCAAACACATCTATTTATCGTTGAAAATTTCCCATTATATTAAAAACACAATTATATGAACGAAGAATATTCTTTTCAATAATTTCTCATCAGGTATATCTACAATTAGCTAGTTGACCAGGGTAAAAGAAGTGGTTGAACATACTTCTTTTAGATACAAAGCTCTGGCTTTTTGATCTGAATAGCAATTGCTTCAACCGTCTGTAGGATTCACAGTCTGAAGGAATTAGGTAGACTGCTGTTGACACGATAGATTATTGCAAAAGATTGCTCCATGTTGGCTGTATGTCCTGTTTGGACTAAATGGTCTAAGATGGAGCTGTTAACAGTTTTGACAACACCTTTGCTTAACCACACGGATAGGTGCTCACGAGCCCGAATGTACAAATTCTTAGAACATCTGCCAATATAAATTGCTCCACAGGAGCAGTTGAATTGATAGATACAGAAGGAGGTGGCTAGTCTAGGTAATTTATCTTTCAATCTTGGAGTGATTATTGGTCGTGTGGAGAATACTAGTTGTAGTTTAGCTGCATTAAAAGTCCTTTGAATTGATCTACTTAACTTAAGTCTTAACAATTCACTCGGTGCGTGACCTCTGAATTGTAAGCGTATATATAGAAGCATTTTTTATTTACCGTTGGGCATTCTCTACTCTGTCTTTTATTGGCTAAGTTTTTATTTATAAATTTCTCCGGATATCCATTTTCCTTCAGGGTTTTAAATAATGTCTTTGTTTCATCTTCAATCGTATCCACAGTGCATATAGTCTTGATTCTATGATGTAGTGTCTTACTAAGGTTCCTTTTTTGTTGTAGAGGAACGACACTAAGAAAGTTAGTATATTGACCCGTCCAAGTAATTTTCCTGTTTATGTTTCTTTTTAGCAATCCATCTTTACTTCTTGTAAGCAGAACATCTAGAAAGGCTATTTTACCCTTATTTTCTTTCTCACATGTGAATTTCATGGACGGGTGAGTTGTGTTGAATTGCTCGGGTGTTCTTATCAAGTCCAATTTGTAGTCACAATATTCTCTCTCTCTCTGTTACCCCATGTTGATCATAGTTATTCTATTCATTGTTTATCTCACAATTTCATTTCGCTTATAAGCTGATTCAAGTTAACCACTTCATATAAGTCAGCCCCCAAACATTCACGATCAGAACTGATTTGATTAGATATAACAAACAACAATTCCTGATTCACATATTACAATCTCCAAATGATGATGTACTCTCTGCCTTAAATCTGGACAATTTAATGGATGATTAATTTGGATATGAGATAATTGTAGATATACCTGATAAGAAATATCATTGAAAAGAATGTTCTTCGTTCATACAATTGTGTTTTACATCTATTTATAAATACTTTTATGTTATTGATGTTTGCAGTAGTCCTCCAAATTTCTTTCTTGACATTCGTATTGAAGATTCTGTCTTTGATATTGGTTGATGGCTGTTTTGAGTTCTATATGTTCTTCAACTGTAGGAATGCTGTCATTGCTTTGACAATGCTTACATTCACGTCTGAATCAGATCTTCCTTGTTCATTGATGATACTACCCAGCTACATGAAGGATTACACTTCTTCGAAAGTTTAGCCATCAAGTGTGATTGGGTTGGTGTTCTCTGTGTTGAATTTGAGAATGATGTAATAACAGTCTTTGGAATACTCACATTTTTAGGATAATGATCCAGTAGCTCTTATAGCCACTTACCAAATAATACCATTTACCATAAACAATGAGATCACTTGATGAACAATCGTATATCTCAGCTTACAGAATTCACTATACAAACTAGATTATAAGTCAACAATCTTTTATTTTAAAGGTTTACTTATTGGAGACTCTATTAAACCTACATTTAGACTCTTTATATTGTTTTTCAATTTGTTGCAGAGTTGATTTTCTTTCATCAAGTGATTTCCCTTTAATAGAATAAAAATGAAATCCAATTATTAATGCAAATAATCTAATGTTTTCATCATGATGATTCACATTTCAATACATAAGTGATTTGTGTTTTATTTTGTACACATCCACGATCTCATACCGCGGGATTTGAAACCAAGACCTATTAGTCTGGCGCGGGAACGCCTAAACTCTAGATTATTGAGCTGATATCCAACGGTGTTAATGTTTAACTTTAATTTATCCACGAAATTGAGTCACAACTTATGGTTTGCAATAATCTTTTAGACTTACAAGATGTATTTTAGTTAATACAATTGACAATTTCTCCGCACGAAATGACTATTCAGCCGAGGACATTAACTGGTAATTAATAATGCAGTTTTCGATATTATGTGCTTAGTAGTAGTAGTAGTAGGCGTTTTCACAAATACTTCAAGATTTCTGATTACGTTATTAAATGAATACAGGTACATTCAACAGATGAGTCCCAAATAGGACGAAACGAGCGTCGAACCGGATTGCACTATTTGCCACTATCCATGTTTGCTTATGAAGGTTGTAAATTAAGGCAATACGCACAGTATGCACACATACGAATAAAGGACTGAAGTTTTGAATAACAATGGGAATATACAAGTGAATTTACTGGATGATTTCACACAGTATTGAAGTAAGCTTTAACAGTTATTGACCAAAATTGACTTTCACAAATCCTTACTTAAATATTGATTGATAAAACTTTATTCTCAATATGAATATGAAGTACTCACTGTTATTTTCTGTCAAAGACGAGCTTTTGGATGAAGTTTTCATGTTCAAGTATGTATCTGCATGAAGCAAAAAACAATAGCAGTCAATGTGAATTTGAAAGTAATATGTATAGACTTTAATTCCTCATGAATTTGAAATTTTAATAGTCAAACCCATTCAAAATGTTATTTGCACTGTGGTATTTTGTTGAGGCAGATCCACAAAACTCTTCGTAGAACGCCAAAAAGGAAGGCTCTGAAAACATTGAGAATCATCTTATCTAATGAGCGTCTATTGGAAGTTTTTGCAGAATTCTAGCAAATCATCAACAAATTGACAGGTCACATACGCATTTGTGATCGAATGATTACCTATGCTGCTGCTATGTTCATGAGCCCTCCAGAACTTTTCAGAAATCCAAGGACATCTGAAACTAGATAAAAGCCTCGAATCTTTCCTGTATGAATGGATCTTTGAAGTATAAAGTTTCCTGTCTTTCCTGTATTTCAGTTTTCCTGTGTCGGTTGTGGTTGTTAGTGTATCAAAAATGATAGATTTTTGTTTGACTCCTGTTCTATTGTGAACTTGATGTCATGGAAGACATTGTAGATCATCTTGTAGGTGGAAGCATCGACGATTTTGAATTATCAGTGCATGAAATTCTATTGAAGAATATGAAATCATATATCGTGTTTGGGAAGTCCACTGCATGAAGATTATCAAGTGAGGCTAATACAAACTATTTTCTTGTAGATCAGCACTAATATTCAGTGGAATATATATAATTATATTACATATGTAGTAAGTATACTCATTCATAGATATAATGGATTGATATAGTTTCTTTATTGGTCAAGTCTATTTCATTACTGATTATGTGATGTTAAAAAGTTTTATAACTAAAACCTACTGGTTGCCAGATCAAAGTTTAATCTCGCATTCCACTTCTTCTCTATTGCAGATTCTATTAAACTATAGGCTACAATAGATGATTGAGAAAAGAAAAAAATTTACCGAATGTAGTACTCTTTATTAATTTGTATTATATATAAGCCAACTCCAATTCATTCCATTGAGAACTGGTCAGTAAGTCAGCTACAACGTGGGATCAGGCACATATGTGCATCGACCTAAGTTGTCACACCCTACTCATTAGCAAAACAAGATGAACATCAAATTCATCGAAGTAGTTACTTCAATAGTAGTAATATATAAAAGACTGTGTATAAGGATATAGTACAGAAACAAAGATATAGTTGATAGAAAGAAAGATATAAAGTGATCTTCATCACTTAGATTATGGGAGGAAAAAGAATGTGTACACGTCACGCGGACCCCAACCAAGTAGTCTGCATCTACCAACATGGCTCATGGTAGAAGTTAGTGACCTCAAGCACTGATGCCACATTTTGTTTTGGTCGCCCCGAACTTTCTTCCAAACACCTCCAACACTAGTCAATCAGTACTGCTCGTCGTGGTAATCGCTGTCCAGGCATACGTAACACGTGACCCAACTATCTCAGTCGAAGAAAATTCACAACCTCATCAACCGAGTTTATCATCATTCCCTAATACCCTCCGTCTAACCTGACTATTACTTACCTGATGATCCCAGCAGATGAGAGCAATATTTCTAAGTCATCTGTGGTCAAATACTAGTAGCATACGAGTACCTTCCACTCTTGACAGTCATGTTTCGCTGCCGTATATTAAAACAAATCGGACTGTCGCGCAGTATACTCGTCCTTTTATTGATAGGCGGATGTCTCGCCTTCGCCATAGGTGGCGTAAGTCGGCAAAAGCCAAACGAGCTTCCTGGATCCTTGAAGAGATTTCGTCAGACACCATCCCACCAGGGCTGGCCGGACTTCCAATGTAAGTGAAGTTGTCGACGCTCCCTATCCTTAGTTCAGTTGTTGATGCAATGCAGTCCAGAAACAATAACATATTTCAATGACAGACACGGACGCCGATAAGCATGTGTGTTCTAGAACCTGACGAATGGTGAATATGTGGTGAATACAGCTACCACAAGGTTCGAAGTCACAGCCATTCCTTTATCTCTCCAAGCAACATATGGGTCAGCCCCGTTTCCAGAAAATATCAAGTGTGACCTCAGTTGTTCCTGGGATCTACTTTCGGCTTTCTCGTCACTGAGTTTCAATGTAATGGGCGAGGCGCAAGCAAATGCATGCTTGTATTAGAGCATGATCGGAGTCCAAACAGGTATTCCAGAACGAGTGAGTCTTCCATCGAGCGTCTCTAATGATGACTGATGCCGAAATTATCTATTTGAGTCCATCGTTTGTTTAGTTCAGGGGGCCACCATGTTAGACGATGTCTCTCCTTATGCTTAAAATTAGTGCTTGCTAAAAATGACCACGTAAACTAGAACAGAACGAACTGACGTGCAGTATAATGATATATAATATAGGCAAAAAATATATAAATATGGCTAGTTGTTTATGTCCAATGCAACCTCATTATAAAAGCTACTAAACGGCTTACATAGATATCAATTTACTTTTGCGATATGCTTAGTTCTTAGAACAGTGACAAGTTACTGTGACGGGTTTCATATAGAACTTATGCATATCATGTATAGTAACCGTCAAATGATAACATAAGTAGATGTGTTTTCAACTTACAATATTCATCAAGATCTGGATTCCTCTTTATATCAGATAGTCGTTCATAATTTTCTGATGAAAAAATGGTAACACAGACTTTTATGTTAATGAAATGTTCATCATTTTTTACTTTCTCAATGAAGTATAATTAACATCGGAATATTCCATGAATGCAACAAAATGCGATGTGTAATGTGATCCGGTGAGACCTATGCAGTTTTGTGTATGGGTTTATGTGGATTATCGAAACTTCCCCTGATTTTGATTCTTTTCCCAGTTCATGTTCTCTCATGATATCTTCATAAACGTTGTTTCCATTACGTCTGTTGATGTTGAGGTCCGCCATCGAGTCATGCAGTTTTGTGTATGGGTTTATGTAGGAATATTGTGCCACCTATAGTCAATTTGTTGAAAGCACGTGGATTGTCGAAACTCTCCCTGTTTTATTTCTTTTTCCTAGTCCATGTTTACCCATGATTTCTTCATAAACGTTGTTTCCATTCCGTCTTTTGATGTTTAGGTCCGCCATTAAGTAATTTCCTGAGCAATTTACTATGATCGATTGCAGCCTATCATAGAACTGGTCCTAATCATCGTCATTGCTATCATTGATGGGTGCATAACATTGGATAACATTCATTGGAATACCCTCATTCTTTGTTTTTGAAAACGTTTTTTATGATCATTGATCAATGAGATCCCTTTTGTTTACGTGACTTTTGTGCTTCTTTGAACAACATGAGAGGAAATGCTTGCCTACGCGGGGCATTTCCTTCTTTGTGAATACAGTTCAGAAACATCTCCCCCGAATCTGGTATTTCTTGTCCAGCATGAGTCAAACGAATTCCACATCTTAATTCCTTGGCTGTTTAACTGGTTCTCCCAGTATGACACATTGTCTGGACGTTCAGTGTTTCAATAATAATTGTTGATCTGATTATTAGAAGAAGAATCGCCTGTGTGACTTCCGAAGAATCTCGCCTTTCATCATGAAGCATCATACTCCTTCTTACATTCAGAGGATGGATTTTAAACGGTCTAAGCTTTTTTTAACCTAGTTAATCTTTTTCGAGCAAGATAATTTTCAACGAGATGGAGTTGCTGACCTCATGTCCAACTCTCCCCCTTTTACACGCTCTTTGGACCGGCAGTGAACCTAGAATAGCTACAAACGGAGTTAATCCGGGTGTAATCATAAAATAGTATTGAATGTGGAGTCGTGTGAAAGCAACACGAATTGCCGATATTCCACAGAATATTTTGATATGATAAAGTTTCATAAACTGGGCACAGATATACCACAGTGAATACAACAACGTTAAAATTTGTTTCGTTATACTTATCTCAAAATTATTTATTGGGTAACATCGTCGGCAAACCCCAACTGAGTTAATATGAGTGACAGAATTTTTCAAAATGAAATCCAATTTGTCACAGTTATTCATTAGTTATAAATGTGAAATACATACAAAATGAATTGACTTACCTGAGTAGGTCTGTAGTGAATTAGCATCATTGGGATTGATATCTGTATTTAGTAAAAATGTGGTTGTATTTTGTTACCGTGGCAAAACCAGAGCGTTTCTAAATTGCTTACGTAAAACGATAACCTCACTTGAAGCATAGGCCACTGACCAGTGATGTTTAAGCAACACCGTCTTAGTACCTTCTTTACTGTTAACGCTTATTACTATTCATCGTCCTTACATATATTTCCATGCTGGCTTGTTCACAGACACAGTCGACTATTGGTTAAACTATCCCGTCAAAAGAATAAGAGCATATGTATTAAAAACTTTATAAATAACACTATGTTACTGATATTGGTTGCCATAATTTGCAAGTTTCACTGACTTCGTTTAAAAATATACAGTGAAAACTTCGACTTCAATTAGAAGTGACAGTTATTTTGAGCTTCAGATATCCAACAGTCGTTGGAGTGTTGCCCTTCCATTGCTAATTTTTGCTTTCACATCGACATCAGAACCTCCTTGCTGCCTATGTACGTAAAGGCTATCATCTCTTCCTGAGCAGTGTACTGAATCCAAATTTACATTGCATTTTCTGCCCTTGACTTCAAAATCTGAAGGCAGTTTCCCTTTGCAATTCTATCTATAAGAGTTCCGTGTTTCATCATGAGTTGTCATAGCCAATCAATATGGAGTCTCTACCACACTCAGAACACAATTTCAACTGTTTCATTGATATTCTCTGATAAGAGTTATTTCACCGACGATGTTAGACAATTATCATCACGTATATTTTACAATATATTTGCAATAAATAAATAAACATACACATCAACCTACTTTTGAACAGATCTAAAATCCATTTAGCTCCATACAATTTTTCTAGCCTCATTACTTCTATCAAACGCAAAAACAGTACAAGAATATCAGCGAAATGTGAAGACAGAAGCTGTTCTGTAAACAC